CTGGAGATGACAATGATTGAAGACAGAATCTTTTGCATGAATAATGCATTGACTACCACTGAGCCACTCTAACTGGGAAAAGATTACTGTCAATGATAACGAATAAATCAAAGTCTTCTAATCTCACAGTGGTTGGATATATCCTCTAAGTACATCTCATTCATCAAAAAACTTAACCCCTACTCAAGTTCAGATCATATATTTCTCAATTTTTTATTTGCACACAGCAGTTATTTGCATGTTTACTCAGAATTATATCTCACACTGTTCACTGGGATTTACTCCCTTAAACAGCAATCTTATCAAGTCTTTTCTGATAATACACCCTCTTAAGGAAAATACTTCTGAAGTATATAGAAAAATCATGACTGCAGAGATAAAATTATAAGACCTGCATAATTACATCATCACACAAATGTCATGACTTATACATTTGAATCAAATGCCAGGATGCAAGTATGAAATAGCATTTGCACAATGATGTCATTCTACACATCATCATTTTGTAACCAGCAGAAATTTCTATAAGCACAGCTTGTATGGTGAACTATATCCTGCAGTAGTGATAGTACTTCAGAGCTATTATAGTCATATTGCAAAGCTCAAGAGAGAACAGTAAAATCTGAAGAAAGAAGTAAACAAAAAAGTTAAATCTTTAAAGAAAGAAAATATGATAGAACAGAAAATACATTGCTATTTTAATTTATTTGGTAACAAATTCCAAGGCTATCTCTATGAAATAATGGGGATGATAAAAGCATCTAGACAGAAGTTTTAATAGAATCTAGCAAAATTTTCCTATGTTATTCACATTGTATAGACCAAAAGGCAGTAAATAATTTTCATTATTCACCATCATGATTGCTTCGAGGATATTAAATGGAATCAAGAATCATTTGTACCAAATGATTAGAAAGCTTAGAAAAACAGTTCCAAGAATGTTGGTGTTTTATTTCGGTATGCTCAGGAAGGCACTAGACTAGCAGTCTTTCCTCACAAATTCAGCCATGACAAATCTACTCTTTCCAAATAAAACTTTTTAAATGTTTTCATTTGCAGTTAGTGTTGAGTTGGTTTACATCCCTTACTCTCTACATTTTTTTTCTTTTTGTGACCCTTTAATCCCTTTTATCAAGGTGAACTCAGGGTGGGAATGGAGCTGAGCATTTACTGGCTGGATGCCCTTCCTGAGTCCTACTCAGAGTTTACAGTAGATATTTTATTTATCTGCCCTGATAAAGAAACATCTGTCACTGCCTAGTATTGAACTCTCAACCTTACGAGTGGGATGAAAGCATCTTCACTTCTAGGCCACCACGCCACTCACTCTCTATATACCAACGGCTTTTATAATAGGAAGATCAGCATACCATTCCATTCTTGTAGTTCACTTAGAAGAGACATGTCAAACTCGCGACGTCATGTGACGTCACGCAATGTATCAAGACAGCTTTGCCATTGCCAGCAACGGGGTGGGTGTAGCTTCCATGTGACGCATCCAGCCCACAAGCCGGCAGTTTGATACCTGACTTAGAATGACTCCACTTCACAACCATGGTAAAAACAATCCTTAAATCAATTCTATCCCTAATTAGTCCTAAGGAGGGAGCTGTTCCTTATTTATTTGGAAATAAATTCAGTGTACACCTAAAGAGGCTTCTTATGCTATCCCTCATCTCAGGCAGCCAAAACATCAAAACAGCAAGTTTGGCTATTGTAAAACAAAAAGACTGTCTTGAGTAATAGAAGTGCATGCAATTGCTAATTGAGTTTCAATAATATCTGCCAAACCTATTTATTTTATTTTTATTCTGCTTTTCTTTCATTTCATGTAACTCAAGGTGGCAAACCCAATACTGCTTCCTCCTCCTATTTTTAACAGTTTAGGAATATTATTATTTCACTGCTTCTTCACCTTTAAAGGCTGCTCTAAATTCCCCATCCCTTCAGAAAGTGGAACAGGAAATATCACTAACCATATCTCATTCCCTTCCTTGACAGGGTAATTGGTTTGATGGATAAGGGGAATGCAATATATATAATGTGACTTTGGCAAGGCCTTTGACAATTCCAGATGGCATTATCAAAAAATAATTGGAGAACTGTGAGCTGGCAGATGGCTACAGCAAGGTAACAAATTCCATGGGGGTAGTTGTGCTACAAAACCAACAAAAAGTGTTATGGAAACTTAGATATTAACTATTTATTAGGAAATAACTAAGGGCTCTTAAAGTCCTCTACATCAGATAGTCAAAGCAATTTATTTCTAATTAAAGCACCCAAATATCTGTATAATAACATAGAAATACATCTTCACAATATACAAGGAAATGTCTAAATTGAATAGAATGAAAAGTTTTGATAAATTCAAGTTTCCCAAAAATCTTCCTTGAAAGATTATTTATTTATAGTAGTTTGAGGTCATTGCAAGATATAGTAAACTGAAATAGTTTGTGATGGTCGACTGTCAGTGTTTCATTTGTGTCCATTTATTTTCTTGCTTACAGACAGCCTATTTATTTTGTACAAATAAAAATCAGAATTGTTGACAAGTGAAGGAAGCAATTAAATTCTGGATGGAAATAGGTATTACATTTGCAAAAATTGCCTTAACCTATATAAAATTTAATGTTTTCTTGCAGAACCTCTGTCATCTTCTTTACTACTAGCAAACAGTTGTTTTGAAGGTAGCATTAGCCAAGTGAGGTAGAATAAAACAGAGGAAGCTGCACTGCTTTGCTTCATGTTAACCTGCAACTGTATCTATTTTGTTTAAATGAGTTACATCCTTGGAGAAAAATTGGTTGCTTTAGGTTTCAAAGAATCCTTTATCAGCCACATACCTTTCCTAGAAATATTTTCTTCTGTGACTGGAGCATTTAAGAGAAAAGAAGCACTTGCCTTTAGCATCTCATGCTAGAGAACAAAAGTAATTGTGTGAGATATGTGTACATGAGGCATTGGAAGTTGTTGGGTTTTTTTAATATTGATTCCTATGTTTTATTATTTAAATATATCTATTTTCTAAAAAAAATATCTCCCATTAAAAACAAAATTAGACAATTATTAGTCTAATTAATTTGCATAAAATATTTAAAGTATCTTTCAAAGTGTATCTTTCAAAGTATTTTTCCTAAGCTTGTTGTGAAATCTGTTTATCTATTTGTTTAAATATTTACATGCAAACTTCTGAAGTAAATCCAAGGGAGTTTTCAATATTTTAAGAAATAGAATTTGTACAAATTACAAATAAATAAGAGTCTATGTATCTATGCATCTATGCATACATGTGTGTAGTGTTATAAAATTATTTCAGTCACATACAGTATACACGTGACAACATGGATACTTCACAAAACACGATAATGTTACAAATGTTGTATTTAAAATATTTGTATTTCATAATTTGTGCTAAAATGCAACAGCTTATGTAATATTCAATAGTAGCATGTGCAAAATACACTTGAATGCAACTTGTATGTATTATCAATTTCTTTTTTACAATGCATATTCTAGACTAAAATAAATAATACTAAATAAATTTCAGGAAAAGCAAACATGAAAGAACAATGTTACAAGCTTTCTCTTTGTTATAGCCTAAGGCAGGCGTGTTAAACTGCCAGCCCACACGCCAGATGCATCACACCGAAACTGCACCCACCCCATTGCTAGCAATGGGGGAAAAGTCACAATATGTCACGTAACATCACGTGACATCATGAATTTGACATGCCTGTCCTAAGGGATCATTATGGAAACATGTAATGGAACTAGTAATCCTGAATATGTTGCTAACCAGTTCTCATTGGCCATGCTAGTTGAGGCAGGTGGGCAATAGCATCTGGAAAGCTATAGGCTCCTTACCCTTATTCCAACATTTTCTCCATTTTTCATAAACGTTTATAGAGTTTTTCTTCATTTTCATTCCCTATGGATATTTTTCCTTGTAGCTGAATCTATTAAGCAATTATACTGTTTAACTAAATTTAACTGATCCCTTTTTGACAGTTGCAGCCTTGAAGTTAGAAAGTGTTGACTATAAACAGGTTATCTTCATTTGGCAAACATTCTATATTAACTTGGTTATTTCTTATTTTGCTCTGTGTATATCCTGTGTCATGGTTACTTACATAGTAATTATAAAAAATAAATGTAATTGTCTTATGTATAGAAGATATCAATATAAAATCCACATTTCTAGATCAGGCTCTGTAGGAATTTTGAGTCCTATATAGCATCTGCTACATCAGTTGTTTTCATATGCTGTTGCTGATATATAAGATTAGCATTATGAACAATTATAATTCGCTCCATTATTTGAAAAAATGTCCAGAAGAGGCAGTAGCTCTTAAGTTTCATTATAAAATCTTCCTACAGAATAACATTTAATATGTTTATGGTCACTGAAATAAGAAATACTATAATTATAACCATTCCACACTAGAGACAACTATTGGTTTCCATTTCAACATATTTCTAAGTGAATTTAATTTTAATAATACATTTATTAGAGTGGTGCATCTGCTTCCAAAAAAACTTTGGTGCATACCAGCTATGAATATAGCACATATCTCCAACTTTTTAAAGTGGACTCATTTTTTTCCCCATAATCATGTGACAGCCACCCAATCCTAGGAAAAGACATAGTGATTTTAATGAGGAACAGATAGATTTGATAGAAGTGCTAATCTAAAGTACTAAGATTTACTAATGCAGAGCGGTGGGGACAAAATAATCCAGAGAATATTATGAATCCTGCAGTGAAAGAACCCACCTTATGAACATATTTTGATGATACACATGTGTACAAAGAGTTGGGGCTTTTATCACATGCAATCATTATCTTGATTTTCATGTGCCATGCTCCTAACACCACTGATTTAGTTTTGAAAAGAGGGATCCATTGATCAAGTCATGAAACATTATTCCAAATTATCTCCTTATGATGGTTTAAGTACACTGCATTGTCTTTAACCTGGAGTTATCCTTTTCCTTTTCAGCACCCTCCTTGATAGGTATGGTCAGGAAGGACTGGGCTTCTCAAAACAGCATTGCCCTCTCATGGCAAGAGCCTGCTTTTCCTAATGGAGCCATTCTGGACTACGAGATCAAGTACTATGAGAAAGTAGGTCTTGACTACAATAAAATAAAACCCTTGAATCAGCCTCCTATTCTAACATTTCCCCCTTTTTGTACATCATCGTACAGTATAGCCTATAGCTATTTACTTTTATGCCAAAAAAATTGGCATTTTAATTGACAGATTCACTTTCCAGACAGCTGATATTTTTAGGGTTTTTTTTTTCATTTTAGATCTTGTTCATTAAGAAATTAATTCTTACTTTGGTTTGGCTGTACAACTGACAACCTGGTTCTAGTGGGTCTGCTCAGTGGTGAACTCAGTTTATAGTAAAAAGTTCCAATCATGACTTCATGACATGCAAAATATCACACACTTTGAAAAAAGAAATAGCATCTTAACCACTTGAAACTGGCAATGAAAATTAATTATTAGTTTTATGTACAACTTGTTATCAGTTAACATAACATTTGTGATATTAATATGTCACACTATAGAAATAATTTAAAATTATTTTTTTTATTCTGACTGCTAAAACTATAGGTGTGCTTTTGAAATATGACATGTCTTTTAATTCTAACAAAACAGATAGTGCTGATCATTATTGTTGCTTTTCAACTCCAATGTTGAAAAAAAAGTCCATGATATATACACATCAGTCTTCCTAAACTAAGTTGGCATTATAACACCCAGAATATCAGCAAACAGCCATGCTGATTGTGTATACTGGCTATTGTATTAGACCACCAGTTTGTAGGAAGTCTCTGTAAAACAGATTTGAGTATTACTGTTTTTTATTGTTTTGAATAAATACAAATATTTAATTTGAATCTAAAAGTAGATCACATATTATATAGAGGTTAATTATGTGTCTATGATGCAAACAGTATTTTTTAAAAAAATACAAGAAGTAAACACCAACATATATCAAAATACAGCATGGGATGGTTTGATTTTGAGGTGTCTGATTCCAAAAAGATTCTGAGCTGGTTACAGTTTTAAAAGAGTACATAATATAAAATAAAATATAAAATTACAAACATTTTTAAATGAACTTAAATACCCAATGGAAATATATTTTCCTATTTCCTCTTCCCAACTTCAATCCTCTGTGATCCCCTATTCAACCCAGAGCTGTTTTACAGAGTCAGGCAGAGTTTCCAAACTTTGTGTGATTAAGAATGACTACAAAAAAATACGATATTCAGTATTTTCTTGTCCTTCTTTCTCAACTATCCCTCATTATAATCTCATATTGTTTAGGAGTCTTTCCCATCCCCACAATGGGGCTGCTGGAATTTTCATTTCTTGAGCTCATTTTGACTCAAAACCATCTTGAAACAAAATCACAGTATGTAGCTAATGATTTTGAAGTGTCCTTTCTGTCCGCTTTTCTTAGAGCAGTTCAGTTAACAGACTATCCTTTTGTATTTCTTCTGAGCAGTTATTAGTGTTATAATCTTCTGGAGGAATACATCTGCTGCTGATAAACATATGTAAGTTATAGTAAATATTTGGCTCAGTTGACAACATCTCTCTGAGGGAGATGGGCAATCTAGAAATATGAAATATAAACAAACAAATAAATAAATCTTATATTTGCAGGGACCTTATATAAACTAAATGTATCTTAATCAGTGACTTAAAATGAAAAGATTTCTGAATAAAAATACCTTGCTTTTTGTCAATGGTAGATATCATGTCCTTTAAGGCATATTCAAGCAAATTAGAAATGAAATAATGTCAGACATATTGTTGTGTAAATATAGATTTCCATTACTTAACACTCACGAATTCACAATGCAGTTTATTACACCAGCAAAATCTGTACTAGTTAATATAAGCTACATGCACATAAATAAACCTTTATATGTATTCAGACCCTTGGCTATGTATAGCAATGTACAAAAAGCAAATGTGTTAATTATTTGTGAAATACTATTCAGTCTAGAACTTAATTCAACACACTGTCATGGACCCAATTATGCAAATAGAAAGTTAGGGAAGAAGACCGAAAAATGATGTAGCATATAATATTAAAAAGTTATAAAAGAAAAGTTGCTTCTGCTAAGAATATAGAGATGGAAAATATTTATACAAATTTAGGTTTGTTTGTCTCATATGAATAATATTGGGTGTTAAAAATAATAAATGAAGGACAAAGAGAAATAAGTTATCGCCTTGCTTTTTCAAGTCAAACCTTTTTGTTTTATTAAGAAAACTTAATCATTTGCCTACTGTGCAAATTCACAACCCAACTAAGCCCAGTTAACAAAATATAATGCCATAATCATTGTAGACTTTACCAATTAGTATAAATCAGGAGTGTCAAACTTGCAACATCATGTGACGTGTCACAACGTATCGTGACTTTTTGTCCATTGCAATGGACAAAATGCAATGGGATGGGCGCAGTTTCGCCATGACGCATCCGGCAGTTTGACACCCCTGATATAAATGTGGAAGAGGCTAAATGCATCCATTTTTATCACATTCTGTATAGTTTACTTATGATTATTGAATTTAATATTGTGTTCTGCTGATATGTCAGACCAGAAAAACCAGACCCTTCAGGAGCAAAATTATCTAATTAAAGAGTAATAACCATAGTGGTATTTAAAAAAAGATTTGATGGAGAAAATCACAAATGACTTAATATTACACTGCATATTGTTGGCCCCCTAGATGTCACCCAATGTAGAGGACAGATTAGAATTACAATTCTAAGTGACCTAATGGTGTACACCCAGATTCCAGAGAGTTTTTGGTGATTTTGCCTACAGTTTGGTGGGCAGTTGTGTATTGCATCTGGGAGTTTTTACATACAATGGCATTCTAGAAAAGAGAAAATACAAGATCTAGAGAAAATCTTCTCTAAATCACAAAAAACATTAAATGTAGGAATTTTGTTAAATTCTGCCAAGTAAATATCATTATTGTGGGACAGACAAATATCTTGCAAAGATATTTGTAGATGGTATGAAGAGTCATTATTATGAAGAACAAAATAGTGGTAATGAAATAAATATGCCCTAGTGTAGCCTGAATTAAATATTCTCTGTTTACTTCAATCATGGCATTTTTAAACCTGGTATAAATAAAGTGAAGATTGGGAGTCTATTGTGAGCTACACAAGAAACTATTTGTTGCTTCTAAGATGAGCCAAGGTGGACAAAGGACACACCATGGTGTGACATGTTTACAATGTGTGGAAACATTAACTGTTTGGATTTCTCATGTACAGCATTGATAAGTGTTCCAATTGGATGGCCCAACAGGATGGATAGATGGATAAGCAGCTAGACAATATCACTCAAGCACATGAAACTAAAATGTAATTCTTATTTTTTCAAGATTTTCAGTTATTTCTGATATGTAATTTCATGTATCAGCTTATGCATGAAACTATAGACATCTGAAATTTGGGCATACTATATGCAGAGATGACTGAAATAAACAGATTATTTACATCACTTTCAGTCACCTACTTCTGCATTACCTCCAAATTTGTTAAGAAAAGTATATTTTCACTCTTAACTGCATAGATTGATAGTGTTGTCTTTCAGTGAATCATGTTTCCCACTGGCATTGCATTGAGGAAGGTCCAATGGACCTTTCATTTTGTTTAAATATAGAAGTGAGTCACATTCTATTTATTCTATTCTCCTGCACAGCAGCTAACTTAGCCCTTATCATTATCTAGAATGAACTACGGTACTAAAGTTATGGCATGTTGAAATAAGTCAATATCCAACTATCATTCATTGAGATCAGTGGTGGGATTCAGTCAGTTCGCACCAGTTCAGTAGAACCGGTAGATAATTTTTTGTTGCTCAGGCCCAGAATGGACTTCTGGAAGCAACACTCACACAGAGAACTGGCTGTTCACCACTGACTGAGATGCCTTTTTCAAAAATAATTAAATTTAAAATAAACCATGGATTTGGATTTGGATTTGATTTTGAAGATGATATTTGCACATTTTAGCAATTACATGTTCATTATTGATACACAATTGTACTTCAGATTCTGTCTTACTTTGCTCCATACCATAATTATTTTTAATTGTTTTGAATCTTTCTGATAACTATAATTGAGAAAACCATTGACAACTATATCCCTCTGCCATTAGTTGCTCTCTTGATTTAATTTTATAGTGGTTTGTAGAGTATCTTGTAACATTAACTGTAGTGTAAATTAAGTCCAATTCATGCTCTTGGAAAGTAATAAAATATGGCAGATAAAAAGACTCAGTTTCACCATCTGAGCAGAAAATGATAAATATGCCTTAATTCTTGTTTTGGGAGTTCTCATTGCTTTTCCATAGTATGAAGGATTGGCTTCCTAATTTATTTTCAAATAAAATAATACCCTTTAATGTGTCTTTTATCCTAGAAGAGGTGAAACTTCCTGTAGCTGTTTTACTCCAAGGTAATACAATTTATAGAAATACTGAGGAAGCTTTCTAATTTCAGAAGCTATTATCTCCAGTCACTGAACTATGGAGATATTCAATAAATCTATAGATAAAGATAATTTACTGTGGAAAAACATAATAGTAGTAGTTTACACAAAGGATTTCAAGTCCTATTGCCATATAATAAATGTTTGTTTATAACCAGTTTAATTCAGACAGGTAGGTTTAAATCCAGTGGAAAAAAATTAACTTCAGATTTATAAGATCCAAAGATTACCTAGATAATTAATGTGAAAGATCTTAAAACAGTACTTGCAGTGTTTTGAGCATTTTATAGGAACTGTTTGTCATTATCTTCAGGATTGCTTTTTCTCCTTTTGTTCATTTCACTGCTCTGCCACGTTGGGAATTGGAATTAATGACATAACTTCTATTATTTGGGAGCAATTTCATAAACATGCACGACTTAGTATTTGACATATTGATTCCAAAGCTTTCATGTAGGAAAATTGGCATTAATGGAGTGATATATACAGCTGAAAAGGAGTAATCAATATTTGAGCCCTTTTAGTATTTTACAGGGTATATTTTCACCTCAGCTATTTCCATTTCAGCTATAATTTCTTCTAAATCTGTACCTTTCCATTCTATTGAACCTTGTAAGACCTTATAATACTTTCCAAACTTCCTTCAAATTAAAATCTAAATTTTAATATACCTTTTTTTAAATTTTTGTTATGACAATCGCTTGTTCTATTAATTATGGTAAGCTAGAAGCACCACCTGCAGTCTATTTTGTTTCCATTCTCATTTATGTTCATTTTGCCTTTTGTCTTCTTTCTTCTTCCTGCTATATAATTCAGTTATAATATTATTAAACTGCAGTTGACCCTACTCAGTTATATGTATTACTAATCCATCATCCTCTGGCAGTTAGTTATGCTAAAGCTCTGGATGGAAAACAGATAAAGAATTTTCAAAGGAAAAATACATATTCAGTAATTTCAAGGAACAAAAGTTATTTTCTATATTATTTACTTATAGCTATAAAGAAAAGATGTTAAATCTATTTGGATCTCTGTACCCTGCAACCAATTTTACTATTTACAGTAAAATAAATCATCATCTAAGGAACTCTTTAGTTATCACCATTTTAAAATAGGATAATCTTATTTGTAAAAAAAAATATTACTGGAAAAAATATGGAGAGAAAGAAAGAGACAGACAGAGAGACAGAGAGACAGAGACAGACAGACAGACAGACAGACAGACAGACAGACAGACAGACAGACAGGAAGAGAAAAAACACTCATTTTCTAAGCAACAGTGACACTCGATCATATTCAGAATTTGGAAAAGTACAAGCAAAGGTAAATAAAGAGGAAAGCTATCTCAAAATTGTAATTTATTATCTATGTTTATTTTCTTTATGTCCTTTTTGTCCCTTCAAGTAGCCAATGAATAGTCTTTTCAGCAGGTGTCCGAGTAATTCTTTGTTTTTGTTTTTTTTGTAATTTTCCCAAAACTTAATCCGACTCAGATTGATGGCTCATACTGGGTATTATTAAAATCAACAGACCAATTTTAACAGCCACTTGTTAAGTTCATTTCAATCATTTTAGCCATCAAGCACCATTTGTATTTTCAACCTCCTCCCTTCCAACCTTCTCCACCTGTTAATGTCAGCATATTATCTAATATGGTTATTGTCCGTCTGTGGCCCCATCTTCTCCTAAAATAAGGTTCCTATGAAAATCTAAAGTAAGCTCTACTCTCAATCCCTTATCAGTTAAGTGAATACAAACTGTTTTGTTTAGAGATCTGCAAGAATACATGCTTATTTAAGTATGTGAAGAGCCAGTTAGCTTCTATGGAAAAGAATTGGATCATCAAAGAGGAAAAATACATAGTTTAAATCCTGAAATACAGGCTAGATGAATCAGAAAAATTACACAAGGGAGTATTTTGTTGGAATTCAACTATTTTACTTTCTTTCATATTCCTGCAAGGAAAAATGCTTATCTGTGTGCTGCATCATATCACTTAGCTTTCTAACTATATACTCCTCAACATATGGCTGTTAAAATTACAATGACCTTGGAAAGTACATGTTCACACTTAACTGCATGCATTGATAGTGTTTTCTTTCAATGAGTCATGTTTCCCACTGTCATTGCATTGAGGAAGGTCTAATGGACTTGCTTACATTTTGTTTAACTGTAGAAGTGAGCTGATGGGATTCTACAGGATACATTGAGCATATTATGATATATTATGGTAATCAGAGTGTTGAAGTGAAATGTTATGCGTTTTTCTTTTTGTTTATTTCCCTTATGTTGTTTTTTTATTTAATCTTAACTCTTTCAGGGTATTTAAGACAAAATGGATTTTCAAGCCCAGCAGAGCTTAATAGACCTATTTTAATAAGTAAAATGAAAGCAATAAAATGAAAGAATTTCAGTTATGCAATCAGTCTGGATACTTGCTAGAGCAGAGGTTCCCAACCTTTTGGGCACCAGGGACCGCTTCTGTGGAAAGGGTTTTTTCTGCAGATCAGAGGGTGCATGGTTTTGTGTGCTGCCTGCATCCCATGGATGGGGCTTTGCTTGTTTGTGTGAACTGATTGCTAGCATGCCGTGGCCCGGTACCAGTCCATGAACTGGGGTTGGGGGACCCTGTGGTAGAAAGATCCAGTATCTGCCAACAAAATGAGACTTTCTTAGGGTGTCAGCTAATATTTTTTTTCCTTTTCAAGGTAGGAAATAGATATTATGTTGGGTTCTGAAGGTTATAAGCTTTAAGAGTTTGGTCGCTTTTCAGTGAAACTATAAGCTTAACACTTGTTGAGCAAGCAAAATTTAATTGCTTTTTGGGAATAGCATACTATTATGTTCTGGTTTGTATACTCTCTTTATATGTGCATAAATATTTCATATTTTCCTTGTTCAGTTTACCAATGGATTGCTATTGCAAAATGTAATAATATGCTGGAGACTTCATTAAAAATAAATAACAAAATAAAGACACCCTATAGGACAGGGATTTTTTTAACTGTCTATCCTCTTTTGAATTATGAACATGACTGATCATTTAATATCTTCCCCAGTGCTTCATTTTCCCTGAACACACCAACTTAATCATATAGCAGTTGTTACATACTGCTAAGATAGCGATGATGCACTGTTTCTCTGGAGCAGCGTGAAAAACTTTGCCATGCTATAAATATCTTCACTTTAGTTGCATAAGATTAGAGACAGTTGGCCAATTTTATTTACAGACCTTCATATTTCAAACCTGCAGCGCTATACAACAGAATCCCTTGGTGGGAGGAGAGTTCCTTTTTTTCTAGAGTTTTTTTTTTTTAGAATTCATTATTAAATCTAATATAAAACATCAGTCATAAAATGCCTTTTCCTAATTAATACACTATATTTATGCTTTATCACAGCCCTTCCCAAGTGGGTACTTCTTGATATTTTATTATTCATCTTCCAGAATTCCCTAGGTTGCCCTGAGAATTTTAAAAACTGAAATGTAAATGATAGCACTTAGGTATCATTTATATGACAATTCTTTTCTAAGCAAAATTATGATTTAGTTATCATATTGAAGTTAAGGTAAGGCTGAAAAATATAAAAAACAAAGAAATTAAAAATGCAATTATTTGATGAACTGGAAAAATATAGCTATTGTTATTAAGCATGTAAATTGTTTTGCCATATCTCTCATCCCTCAGAGCCTCACAAACTCAAAAAATGATCTAGTTTGACGTTGCCAAATGAAATGTATAGAAACGGTTTTTTTCAAACTCACATTCTTCGAGCAGAACAAAAGAGGAATCAAAGAAATTCTCAAAGAATCACAAAACACTGCTTTTCCTATCAATCTTGCAACAGTGGTAATGGTTGGAATACCTCTAAAAATAATTTCACTCAAGAATTGTTGTTACACTTATTTTGAAGGGAATCCATTATAACCTATGAAAAATACACATGCTTTTAGTTTACCCTAGAGAGTTGATTTCCAGTGCTGCTTCAAAAATAAAATATAAATCTGCAAGATAATTGTATGCATTTCCAATCTAAGAAGATAATAACCCCATTTCAGAGTTACAAGCAAGAATACAGAGTTAATTTTCCTTTCTTTTACCCATAGGCCTACCCACGGATAGTGCCAGCATTTTGGCACTACCTGCAGGTAGAAGTGAGTAGCAGACATTGGAATATTCCCATATTTATGCATTATGTTTTTAGTAGTTATTTGCAATCTAAATATATCCATGATTTAAAGTGTATAATCACCATTTTCTATAAACGTAGTTTTGTAATAATTTCATATTATGTTGTTTAATTACTAACTCTTGAATTCACAATTACTCAACACTTGCTGTATAAGAAACACAGACATTTATTAATATATAGCTAAACTTAGCCTGTGCCACACCCATAGTGATGGCTTTTAGCCTTTGAATGAATGAAATTTGACATTAATTACAAAATTTAATTTTGAAAGGTCATGTGCCATTTTTTTCTTCTTTTGTCCCTCAGGAGAATGAACAGCTCAGCTATTCTTCCACAAGGTCAAAGGCTCCAAGTGTCATTGTCACAGGTCTCAAACCAGCCACCAAGTACATATTTCATATCAGACTCAGGACTACAACAGGATACAGTGGCTATAGTCAGAAGTTTGAATTTGAAACTGGAGATGAAAGTAAGTCTCAATCAAAGATGCCGGATCCTTGTATATCTGACAGAATTAGTGTCTGATGTTACAAAACTAGCCATTGCGAATATTACGTCTAAACTGAATTACTGATTGAAACTGTTTATGTTTGCATGTATTCACATGAGTTTATTTATCACTCAGATCCCAATATGTTAGTGGTTGAGTTTGATTTGAAACGTGTCCTTTAAATGTGCAGAATTTAAAAGAAAATCCTGAAATTAATCTTATTTATCTATCTATTTATCCAATTTACTGGCTACTCATTGTCAAGGTTCTGACTGATGAAACCAAATAAAGCAAAACTCCGAGGCTTGAAGTTTTCTCAAACTTTTATTTGTTTATTAGATACATAATATTGGCATGGTCAAAAGTGAAACCAACTCTAAACCCTCCTCCCTTCCCCTCTACTATGCTATTGATCATGCTACCCAATGAAAGCAATTGGTGGTTCTGTGACACTTCTTGTTCCTCCTTCCAACACTTGTGGGAATAACCTTGGCTCCCACGAGACCGCTTCATGTTTTGTCTAGCAATACTTTCATTTTCCTTTTTTTTCCCCTTCCCCCCAACCTATGTGGCAACTTAGAATAACAAAGATGGCTTCAGCTAGGTTCATTTCAGAAGTTGACATCCATCTTATTACAGGGTAACTCTCATAACTTATAATATTAAAAATATAAACTATATAAATAAACTACAAAAGTATAAAAATAAAATAGCTAAAATTGGGGAGGGAGGGAGAAGGTTGAGAGGGGGGCAGGAAAGATCTGATATTAGTCTATCAACCACCCTCAACATGAAATCCCTCCTTTGGAGCTCCAAGCCAGCTAGCAGAGCCAGATTTTTAGGCTCTTGCAGAAGGTGGATTGGAGCAGATCTTCTTCTTGGGACAAGATGTTCCAAAGGGGAAGCACATGGCAGAAAAGGATTTTCTCCTGGACCCTGAACCTGGAATACTTTAGTCAATGGGGCCCACAGCATGGCTTCCCTGCCAGCACAGGTGGGGCAAGCCAATCCCAGTGGGATGAAATAATTCTTTAAGTAACCTTTAGTTACTTTATTTCTTCCCATGGAATTTGTCAAGTTATTTTTGTTGGTTTGTTATTGAAGTTCATCATAATTAGAAATCCATCATCTTGGACAAACTATCACTGATTGGCACACTGTTTAGAATGCAGGCTAACTCTGTCCACAACCTAGAATTCATTCCTGGTGAGACTCGAAGTTGACTCAGCCTTTCATTCTTCTGAGGTTGTTAAAATGAGGACCCAGATTGTTGGGGGCAATATGCCGGCTCTGTAAACCATTCAAAGAGTGCTATAAAGCACTATGGAGTGGTATACAAGTCTAAGTGCTATTGCTATTGCTGTTGTTGTTGCTATTGTGGATTGTGTAAATCTACTGGAAATTTTATATGTTATACTCTTGAATAGGAATATACAATAATCATTGACCAAAGCTGAGCTTTACCAAATAATTTAAATCAAAGTCACAATTTTCTGAATGTTAAGAAAACTTTCCTGACTTCCAATTTGATGTCGTGGTGTAACAAGTGCAGGAAGATGGGGCTCCATCTTCTGGGTTTGATTTTGCCCTGCTGGGGACCCTAAAAAGGGTCAAAAGTCACCCTAGAGAGGCGAGGAAGGAGGAGGAGACCCTTGTTGATCACAGAGAGGCGGCAGCCCTTCTGTTTGATCTGAGGAAGCCCTCCAAATTGGTGGGGGAAAGACTGGCTACAATTGTGTAGCCAGTCAAAAGTGCTGACAACCAAAAGAAATAACAGCAACTTTTGAACAATGTGGATAAAACTGGGTGAGATTCTATCCTCTCTTTATAACTTTTAAGACTTTTTCCTGGAAAAAAAGCCTAAAGCAAAGAATCCTCCCCAATGAGAGAGGGAAAGGGAGTTTTCACCCCATTCCCTCAGGAGAAAAAAAAGTAGCAAACTGCTTGGGGGAAAAATGGAGAAATTATAAGATTAATTTGGAATCAATATAGAGATATACCTTTGAAATTTGGGGACTATAAGTGTTTTTGAGACTTTTTTAGAACAGAGACTTGAAAAGCTTGCAATATAAGTTTGAAGCTAGACGAAGGTGTTAATGACATCTAGTGGCACTACAATTTATTATGCTTAAAGGAAATTTGACGTGAAGCCCAGACTCAGATAAGACCTTGGCTGTCCCTGGAAACTTTCACTTTTAAAAACTGCAGCTGGAGAAAGAAAAAAAACTCTTGGGCTGCATATCTCCGTAGCAGAGACAATAAACTACTTTGAAATTGGCTTCTTGGATTATGAATATAAATACTAACTGGCTTTTAGAACTGTGTCATGGAACTATTCCCCTGTAGAAGAAACAGGCAGGACTGATCAAGATGATGGAACACTTTGGATTATAAACATTTGATTGATGAATAACTTTTAATTGTGTCTTTTCTCACTCGACAGAAAAGATATGTTTTTCATTGGACAGAAAAACCTGGACTTTGCTTATATTTATTTAGGGGAGACTTAAAGATGGACTGATAGTCTTAAATAGTAAAAAAACCATCTCTAACATTTGTCTCCAAAGCCCTCAGCTTCACATACCAACAAAAAAATGTTGATGAATCTTAGAAAAAAATTCTTTCTATGTTGAAATCAATACAAAAGACAATTTTCTTAGCTCATGATGAGACTAAAAATAATGCAAAGGAGATAAAAGAACAACTTTTTAATCTAAACTTACAAATTCAGAAAATGACCACAAAGAAGAAACCAGTAACCCAGAAAATAGAAGGAAAATTAGAGGAAGCAGATCCAAAGATGGAGGACCTAAAGGAAGGAATTAACAGACAGACACAGACAAATGAAGAATTAGAAGATGCAGTGATAATATCGGAAATGGAAAAGATATCTTACTTGTCAAGATCTAAGAACACATTTGAGGATAAGGAAGAAGAGCTGATTGAACAGAAGATAAAGCTATCAGGAGAACTGTGGAAAATTGGAGAAGGAGCGAGGATGTTTAATGAATATAAATGGGCCGAGGGTTCTTCCCAAAATACTTTAATCAAATTGCCTTTGTTACTTCAAACAATATGCACAAAAATAGAGGAAGAACTACTTGAGGATTCAAATGCATTGACTTGGAAAGTTAGTTGGCAAAGGAAGAAAGCCAGAGTAAGAATGAAAAAATAGAGGTTTTGACCCATTAGATGGGACATTGCATTATTAAATAGATGTTTGAACATTGCTAAGAGAATAGATAATTGTTAGAAATAAAAGTATTACTATAACTAGAAAGATAGGATATGCAACTAGAATACTATATTTTGGTATGAGAAGGGAAATATGAAAATGCCAAGAGGTTCTGAATAAGGGAAACTTTTGGTTACCCAAATATAATTTATTATGAGAAAATGATCAGTGACCGAGATAGAATATTATATTATTAAACAGATGTTTGAATATGGTTAAGAAAATAAATAACTGTTAGAAATAAAAGTATTATTATAACTAGAAAAACAGGATATTGATTGAACAAATGGATTTTAAGTGCAAATGCAATTGAGATATCTTTTGGCTAGAAAAGATATTATAAACTGACATTATCGATATTATGCATAATACCAGAAAAATAATTCCAGAAGATGTCTATATTTAATTGTATAGTATTAACAGTAACAAGAATTGTATTTCCCAATGTGGAAAAATGCATACCACTGGAAGAAGAGCAGATCAAGGAAGCACTGGATGGTGTAGTATTGGAACTAGACTGAGAAAGTTATGTACCACTGAATTACCAATGAACCCAGACAACACATTGTTTATTAAGTATTTATGATTGTAAAATTAGAAAATTAATAAAATGTTTACAAAAACTAATTATTTTTCTCCATTTGAATGCATTTAAATATTTTTTTAAAAAAAGAAAACTTTCCCAAAGTGCCCATTGCCAGTAATTTTTCTCTTCTCTTATGCCTTAAACCCAAATAACTGATTAAGAGACACACAGAAGGATGGAATTGGAGCTACAGTCTCCAAATCTTTTGTGTGGAAATGATGCTATACATTTTATTTAATTCAGCCAAAGCCAAAACAAAGAATCTTTATGCAATATTTATGCTACTATATATGAAACTAAAAGTATACCACAGGAATGGATAGTGGAGAAATTGGTATATAAAGATTTATCATGAAGGAGCAAGAACAATTTGTAATACGTTCATAATTTGTAGTTGACTAGCTTATATCTAGAACATTCTTAAAATTTCCAAATATTTTAATTTTAAAAAACTGATAAAACCTATATTTGTTATATAAATTATAAGTGATATAATTAACTAGTTATTTAGATTAGTAATCCCATATATTAGATTAAAATTTTCTCAAATCTCAAAAAAGTCTCCCCCTATAAGGGTGTATAGCCCTGGAAATTTTGTTTCAATACAAGTAATATAGTTCTCCAGTTCATCATGTTGGCTTGCCTCACCATCAGAGGGAGGTAGATGTTAAACACTAGCAATTTGCTGCGTCCTCTCTTAGCTAAAGAGCCACAGGGGGACAGCTCCACTGTCTCCACCTTTAAAGAGGTAGAGACCAAACAAGCCAAACCATCCTTGGGTTTTCCCGTCGCCGATTGTTTGATGGCGGCCAAGGAGGTGGCCATAAACCCTGTAAGGGATATCTTATCACATGCCCAAGTCTCCTGAAGCAGAACCATATCAAAAGCCTGAATATAGTTGGTAAATTCTATAGTACCACACCTTCTCCCCAACCTGCTATATTCCACGAAAGACATTTAAGAGTACAGAGGGAGGTTGCCAAATTTGATAGTCATTCTACATAATTAATTTTTTCAAGGGAGCCCTTCTGGTCCAAAAAGATACACCCGTTATTAAGAGGCAGTGTCATCCTCATGGGCAGGGAAGGGGGGAAGGGAGGTGAACCTTGTTCATGGGGCTGTAGAACTCTAAACACACTCCAGTTCATACTTGTAGTA